GTAAGTTAGCTAGAGATAATTTAAAATAAGAGGAGGATGTATGTAATGGAAGTACTGCTCCATTTTATATAAAGGTCTTGAACATTTCTGGATTTTGGTATCCATGGAGGTTCTGGGACCACCTGCACAAGGATATCAGGGAACAGGACTTCACAAATAGTAAATTCTTAACTTTTTAAAAATTGAAGTTTACATGAAAAATAAATTGGAATTGGCACTTCCTAAAATATTTTTTCAAAAGTATACAATGGAGTATTTCTTTTAATTAAAATGCTCCATTTGTTAAAAAAAGTACTTGAAAATACTGTAAAAATAAACTGTGTAGTTATTTAAGAAGCATTTCTCCATGTATGTGTCATACAGCTTACCTTTCCCAGTAGAATATGTCATAATCTATTAGTGGGGTCAGGAGGATGTGTAAAAAGGGCTCCATTTTGGTAGAAGGCAAAACATACTGCTAAAAGCTGGAATTGGGGCAGAGGTCTGTTCCCCACAAGTTGCCTTTCTGATTAGGACTTATTCTCTGCTGCTGAGTTCCATGTGGTGGTGGTGGTTGGCCTTGAAAACTGGTAAGTATTAAAACCATATTCTCCTTGACTTATCATGCTGTATACTGAATCCAAGTCATTTTATACATTTGGTTTTTTCCTTGTGTTCTAAAATAGGCACAGGAATGGCAGGGCTGGCAGGGCACAGGCACAGGGCTGGCAGGAAGTCTATCAACTCTTTACAGAGTACCTTTATACACTTGGTAGCATACTAAATTCTATTGATAATGACACTGTCAGTTTGATACTGTGTGAACCTCAGTTCCTTTCCTGGTTTGTTCCTTAATGACTGCTTCAGCCAATCGACTATTCTCGGCATTGAGATGTGAAAGGGCCATGGGCCTAAAGTCATTGTCATTCTTTTTTGTTTGAGTCTTTATAGGATTCAAAAGGAAAAACCACCATAGATTGGTGAGCTCAGAGTGGGAACCTGTAGGCAAAAGAAGTAAAAGAACCACCATTTGATTATATCTACTAGAATTTGATTGGGAGAATTAGTTTGAGCTAAATGGTTAGGACCATAATTGCATATGCTTTCAACAATACATAAAAACTCAAACAGCTCACCAGAATTTGTGGGAATTTTTTTGTGTTCTTCATATTTTTCTGCTCTAAAGTAATGCACTATAAATACAGTTATGTGTCACTTAACAATGAAGGTATGTTTTGAAAAATGTATTGTTAGACAGCTTTGTCACTGTGGGAGCATCACAGAATGTACTTACACAAATCTAGGTGGTGTAGCATACTATATACCTAAATTTTATAACTCATTAGTCCTAGGCTATGAATCTGTCCAGCACACTACTATACTGATACCACGGACAGTTGTAATATAATCCTAAGTATTTATGTATCTAAACATAGAACGAGTATGGTAAAAATACCACACACAGGAATTCTTCTATTCCACTATAATATTACTGTTGTGTATGTGGTTGTCTTTAACTGAAACATTGCTATGCAGTATGTTACAGTATCAGCCTTAGCAAAAATACACCAAGACATGCCTAAGAAACACTTACATATTTTCTCCTTTTAGTAATTCTCATGTTTTATTCCCGACAAACATTTGATAACTTAAAATTGTAATGGGAAGCACCAGGTCTATGGAAAAACTGCAGTGTAAAGAAAGTAGCCAATATTCAAACTTTTATTTCTCACGAATATACTACTTATTCCAGGTATGCTGGCCTCATAAAACAAGATGAAAAGTGTTCTTTCTTCTCTCTTAAAATGGTGTAAGATTGGTATTGGTAGAGTGCTTGTTTAGAATTTAAGAAGCACTGGGTTTGATCTCCAGTACTGAAATAAATAAATAAGTAAGTAAGTAAATAAGGCATCTTGCTACCAGGGTTTTGGGGAGTTTTGGAATCCTTCTAGAGAGTCTTTCCAGGTTCTTTCTTGTTGTCTTGAACAAAGAATTGGACAGAAACACACAGAATACAGTGAGGTTTTTACATTACTAAAGGTTAGGGAAAAAGTGTGCTCTGCATACTTGCAGGCCACTGAAAAAGGACTCACAGTGGCAGTGAGGTTAATGGCCACTGTCTTTTGTATCCCCTGTTCTGAAGTCAGATCTAGGCTGCTCTATCAACAGCCTGCTTGATTTCATGCCAGAAGAACTGAAGATAGAAATTTTCATTTGGTCCCAGGTACAGGACTTGGAACTCTTTTTCTGTGTATATGTCTTGGATTTCTGTGACAGGTCAGGCCCACTTGCCCAGCTGGCTGGCCATGACCTAATCTCCTGCCTCAATCTTGGTATTTGGTTTTTTAATCCTATCTATTATATATTCTGTTATATAAATTTATTTATCTTCATCTAGTTAAAAAAAGATGAATAGCAACAAACCACTGTGGGGGACTATCCCAGTTTCTTCTCTCTCATTGCTGAGACAAAATACCCGATGCCCAAAGTTAAAGGGCAAAAGCTTTATTTAGCTCACAGTTTATAGAGGTTTTAGTCCATAATTGGCTGGATCCAAAGCAGGATGGCATGGCTGACAGACATTGCAGAGGAGAAACAGTTCATGGCGGGCAGAAGGTAGCAAAGCAAGCAAGAGACAAGACACTGTTTCTGGCACTTATATTGTATCCAGGCTACTGGGATTAGGGCAGTGCCAAACAAATCAGTGGACTGATTTAGTAATCACCCACCATTAATCCTAGCATCCTTAATCCTAGCATTGCACCATTCCAGATTCAGCCACCTCTGAAATAGCCCCACCTATGACTGCATGAGGCTTTGGGGGACATCTAGACACAAGGCATAACAGTGACTGTTACACATGATAAATGTTTAATTACAGAAACAGCTGCTTAATTAAGGAAACTGCTACATGTTGGGCCCTGGCCACACAGTGCTGTCTCTGATGCTGACAGTCTGAAGACACACACTTCTCTGACATTTTCCTGACTGTCCTAATATTCAGTCTGGTTATATATTTTTGTCTCTGACAGTCCACAGAGATTCTTGGTCATTTATAGTGAGAAAAACTCTTATCTTTTTTTCTCTCTTTTCCTTTTCTATATATGGATAGATAGAGATAAGTATCACATGGTTATTTGAAGAATTGACATTTTATTTCAATTTGGCTTTGCTGGGTGGGAAACGTTTACATTATTTTACACTTTCAAGCTTGAATTTCCTCTTTCTGGGTGTAATCAGTTTCTACTCTTCAGCATACAGAACATTTTATGAATAATATTCAGTGCAGAAAGAAATCTAAAAATAATTTTGCAGGTAGGGTTTTGTTAGTCATACGTGGAATACTGGCAAGCAAAAAGAACAAAGGCACATCAGGGTAAGGGTAGTGGTAGGCGGGGCATTTCATTTCATTTGCTCTACCAAAGAGCTTGCCTTTACTGAAGAAGGGAAAACACAAGAAATAGGAGCATCTGTGCTAGCTATTGAATGCTTCATTTCCCATCACTGCTAGTCACATTTGAATGGAACCATGGCAGTCCTTTGATGTACATCACTCAGCTCCCTTCCTTTATTTCTAAAGGAAAAATCTTGATTTTTATATTTAAAAACGCAGTGAGATGTTTTGGACATTCTGAGGTTCTTTTGGAATTCAGTGTTAAAGCCCATTCCTTTTTGGCAAGATGATAAAGGGTATACAATAGTGCATTTCATTTGTATGCCTAATAGCACCTCAGATAGCCCTAATACATGTATGTACACATAACTTTTAGCAGCTGTTTCTGACAGCTTACAGCATTCGGCTGAATGTTGTAATGAACAACTTGAAATGCCAAGCATTATTACAATGGATTCTTATCTTTAGAACTTCTTTTTAATACTTTTATGTAAAATTTTTAAATGACACACTTATCAGTACATAATTAAAATGACTAGTCTTTAAATGTTTAAGTTACTCTTTGCAAATAGGGATTGATTTGGACTAATCATCTGGCAGATCTCTTAAGTTCAGGTTAAAGTATGAATTATGTACAGGGGAATATTTTGCAATCATGTTACTGAGTATATATATATATGTAAATATATAATTGTATAATATATGTAAATATATAATTGATAATAGTAAAAATTACTAAGATCCTGTCTCAATATAGGATTTATTTGTTTAATTTTCATATTCAGCATGAAAAATGAGTTTAAGGTTTGTTTTCTTATTCTGCTACTATACTTGGATTTTTGGTCTGGTGGGCATGAAATATTCCCTAGAAATACATTGCCTAGAATTCCCAAAACAGAATAATAAAATAACTTTTTAAAAAAAAAATTGTCTTTAGGGCCGGGGATTTAGCTCAGTGGTTCTGCCACCTGCCTTGCAAGCGCAAGGTCCTGAGTTCTATCACCGGTGCCAAAAAAAAAATTGTCTTTAATACACAAAATTCAGATTGTAGGCTTACATGATTTGGCCGTGTGCTAAAAATTAAACAAATACCCAACAAAGCAAAGTTGGTCAAAGCTGTAATTTATAAAGAATGCCAGCCAGTGTTGCTCACCCAAACTGCCTTTCCCTCATTTGGCCTGGCCTGTACTTCAGGAGAGAAGCTATCATGATATCATGCCCATCTTTTTTTTTTTTTAATACAGGGCCTTTATATTAAACTACATCCCCAGCCCTTTTCTTATTTTGAGATAGGGTGTAACTAAGTCGTTAAGTTATTCAAGCGAGACCCAAACTTGCAATCCTCCTGACTCAGCCTCCTAGAGTGCTGAGATTACATTTATGTGCTGCCACATCTGGCTTTCATGCCGATCTTTCATTTAAAAAGATTTAGTTTTCATCTTCTTTCTTGTATTGTAAACCTTTTTTTTTGGTACCGGAGATCGAACCCGGGACCTTGTGCTTGTGAGGCAGGCGCCAGAACCACTGAGCTAAATCCCCAGCCCTGTGTTGTAAACTTTTTGAAACCAATTTTGACTATTAAATACTACACTTTAATTTATATTGACTAATCATTTTGATTTTACAGGTACTGCTTAGGATGAGTGTGATTTGGAGAAGTTATATTTGCAATGTAAGGCTAAGGAAGGTGCCACACAGATGCCAAAGTGGTAGCCACCCCGTGGCACCCCTGGGATCAAGAATTTTAACTGACCCAGCCAAAATTTTTGAACACAACATGTGGTAAGTTTCCTTTTTGGATCTGATTTTATGTAAGTTTATTAAATATCACCAGTGGTATTATTTTCATTTTGTACCATATTTTTTATCTACATAAAAAACAGGAGAGTTTGCCTTTTTAAGAAAAGACTTTTATAGAGATTGGTGAAAGATAAGGTTGGAATGATATAGGTCAGATGTGGAGATAGGAGCAAAATTGTGCGTGGTCCTGAATTCTTAGTGCCAGGCCCTTCAGAGCCCCTGTGGAGAAATGACATTCCACATAGTCCAGTAAGTGTGTTTGGTGACAGTGTACTGGACAGGTCAGCAGGGATAACTAGAAGCAGGAGGAGGCCAGTGAGAGATTGTGAACAAAGAATAAATAGAACTTGCTGCTTGTGTAGAATAAAAGAGTTTGATTCTGAAGATTTCAACAGAGATCACTGATAAAAATCAGTGGGTAACGGGGGCAGGGATTTAGCTCGGTGGTGCCGCTGCCTGACCTGCAAGCATGAGGATGTGAGTTTGATCCCCGATACCAAAAAAAAAAAAAAAAAAAAAATCAGTGGGTAACTGAAGTTTTCAACTGAGGTCACTGATAAAAATCAGAAAAAGAAAAATAAAGAGGTAATTTTTTTTTTTTAATTTTGGAAAAAAGATGATGGATTTAGTTGTAGACATTTTGAATAGGCTTTGAGGGCAAGACATTCAGGTAAAAATGTCCAGGAGACAGATATTCAAGGTGTCAGAGCTGAAGATGTAAAGTTTGATGTGATATCTACAGCCCAAATTGTTACCAAAAGGAGCCTTTGGAACAGGGTTGGGAAAGTGATGGGTTTTTTTTATGTTTGTTTTTACTGCAACAGAATATCATTTTTAAAAGGAAATACATTGATCTTTTATTAATTAGTTCTACACTTTACAGCAACCAACCACATGTGGTTTTGGAACACTTAAAATGTGGTTAGTCTAAATGAAGATGTGCCTAAAGATTTTGAAGACAGTACCAAAAAAAAAATAAGAAAGTATTTCATTAGTTCTTGTATTGAATTTCGTCTTAAAATAGTGAAATTTTGGATATATCAAGCTAAATAAAATACATTATTAAAATGAATTTTACTTCATGTGTGACTACTAGAAAAGTTTAAATTACTTACATGTGTGGCTCACATTATACTTTTTTGTTGTTGTTTTTCGTTTTGTTTTTTTTTTTGGTACCGGGGATCGAACTCAGGATCTTTTGCTTGTGAGGCAGGCAGCAGAACCACTGAGCTAAATCCCCGGCCCACATTATACTTTTTTGAAATTAAAAACCAAAAAGTAAGCCATTTTGACTACAATCACCAATTTAGACAGTTACTGCAAGCTGTGAGAGAAAATGGGCCCTTTGCCAAGCAGTGAACTCTCCAGAGAAACTTCTGGTCCTGGGCAAGTTCCTCGTTTTTAATTCATTAACCCTAGTGATTTAGCTATGTACTTTTTCCATCTGCTCTCACTGCTCTTTTGCCTGAGATTCTTACTTACTGATAGAAGTGCCAGCTTGTCATAGACTGTCAGGAAAGCAAGGGCTCTTTGGTCCACTGCTCCTTAAACACCCAGGAGTAGCCTTGGGCAGGCTGCAGGGGAACCCTGTGGGGAATTACTGTTCACTAGCTCTAGAGATATGGCCTGGGGATTTTTAATTTGAAAAGCTTTAGGTAATTCTCTTGAGCAGCCAGGTTTAGGAACTCTTGATATAATCCAGTGGCTTTCAGACTTTGCTTTAGCAGCAGAACTTTTTTCACGTAATGTTTTAACATGAGATCTCAATATTTAAAAGGTAAGAGCAAACCTGCCCTGAATCATGGCAGATGTAGAGAACTGGGACATCAATCTACTTCCTTTTCCTCTCCCTTGTCTCCTCCCTTACTCGAGTAGCCCAGAGGACCTTTAGGGCCCTACTCATTACAGGCTGAAAAATCTTTTTTTTTTGGTACCGGGGATCAAACTTGGGTCCTTGCGCTTGTGCAGCAGGCAGTGAAACCACTGAGCTAAATCCCTAGCCTAAAAAATCTTGATCTATCTAGATAGCCATCCTCCTCCATCGCCTGCTCCCCAGGGGGTTTTCCAGCCTGCATTGGGACCACTGGAATACCGCTAGTGACCCCTCTTCCTGGGCACATCTCTGCTGTAATAATAACAATAAAAATAGTTTCCTCCAAGGAGATATCAAAGTGGTTGCTTCACATCATTTAAATGCTCATATGTCCTGATTTTTTTCCTTTTATTCCTCCCCCTCGTTTTTTTTTTCTTAAGGAGAAAATTTGTTACAAAGATTTATAAGTTTGTTCTTTCCTTCCTTCAAGTCCAAAGTTCTAAAAGTACTCATTTTCTTCCATCTTTTCTTTATACTTAAGAATAATATTTCCCCTCTTGCTGAAATGGGGTTTTAAAAAGACATTTGTAGAGAAGTACATGTCAATTGCTTTCTCACCGGTGTTACTGAGAATTATCTGTGGTACACTAGACATGGTGGCATACACCTGTAATCCCAGCACTCTGGAAGGCTGAGGCAGGAGGGTCACAAGTTTCAGCCCAGCCTCAGGAACTTAGTGAGATACTGTCTCAAAATGAAAAATAATTAAAGAGGGGTGGAGATGTAGCTAGGGCAGAGACCCTGGTTCATTATTTATTGCAAAAGAAATTATCTACAGTTTATGTTTCCTCTTAGCCTCTACTTAGTAAGGATGTTTAATTCTATAAGGACCTCTTTAAAATTTTTAAATATTCCTTTTATTCAGTTTCCAGTACTGTTCTAAAAAGATTTCCCTTTCAGATTCTGGATATGTATATTGCTTACCAGCACTTACATCTACCTAGACTCTTATTTTTTAATACTGTAGTTAAGTGAAATTCACATAACATAAAATTAACCATTTTAAAGTGAACAATTCCATAGTATTAACTACATTTCCCCCCCCGCCTTTTTTTTTTTTTTTTCTTGGTACAGGGATAGAACTCAGGACCTTGCACTTGCAAGGCAGGCAGGGTGCCACTGAGCTAAATCCCTGGCTCTACATTTACTTTTTTACTTTTTTTTTTTACCTCTGTCTAATTTATAAAACATTTCCATCACTACAAACTGAGATCGCTAACCGGACATGGTGGCACATGCCTGTCATCCCAGCATTCAGGAGGCTGAGGCAAGAGAATCACTGAGTTCGAGGATGGCCTGGGCTACACAGTGAGCTCAACGCCAGCCTGAACTGCATAGCAAGACCCTGTCTCAAGAAAACAAAGTAAAACCAATTATTATTGATAAAGTCCCCCATCCTTTAGCAACCACTAATCTGTGTTCTGTCTCTGTAGATTTCACTATTCTCGATATATTGAATATAAATGGAATCACACAAAATGCTTTTTTTTTTGAGACAGAATCTGTCTATGTAGTTCAGGCTGGACTTGCACTCACTATGTAGCACAGGCTGGTCTTCTACTCGCAGTGATCCTGCTCCCTCAGCCTCCCCTGTGCTGGGATTACGGGTGTGCAGCACCATGCCCGGCTTCAAAATGCCTTTTGAGGCATGGCCCAGAAGTCTGTGTTGAGCAACTTATACAGTTACTTGGAAATATTATCCCTCATTTAGCAGTGTTTCTGATTTAATCGACAGTAAGTACAGCTGACTTCATGGAACAGTAATATATACACATATATAAAACAGGAACAAAATTTTCCTGTACAGTTTTTACCATGTGAAATATTCACCCATGTTTTCCATTTGTTCTATTCTTTTTCTTTCTGTTTTTCAGTGTTGTTTAGACTACCTAAACTGATTTCATGACTCACTAAGGGGATATGACCTTTAGTTTAAAAAAACACTGAGCTAAGCCATTCTCTGAAAACCCAAGGTAAGACCTGAATGTTGCCACATGACTTCTATTATATAAGATATTTAAAAAATAGGCTGTCCAGCATATAATAGGGTTCCAATGCCAAGATTTTTTATTCTATTTCTTTTTATAATCATTGTATTTATCATCTATCCCTCTTCCCATGTTTTACACTTAGTACTTTAAAACAATAAAGAATTTAATCAATAAATGTTTTCTTTGGCTTCCTCCATCATGACATTTGTGGCATCAGAGTGTAGATGTTGGGAGCACAGGTTTGGGAAGTTGCTTAATCCCTCTGAGACACAGTTTTCTCATCTGTCAAAAAGGATAATAGTAGTAATTCCAACTTTATGGGGTAAATTGAGCATTAAGTGATCATAATGCAAAGTGTCTGTACATAGTAAACAACATACAGTACTATATCACAATTAGCTATCTTCGTATTACCATTTTCCAGTGTGTACTTTAGTTATTTATATCTGTTTTGTCTTCATTATTAGTCTTATTCTACAGAGAAGAACTTAGCTTATGTCTTTCATTTCATTCCTTATGTAATCAATACTAAATAAATATGTTTGAGTAAGTGAATCAATATGGAAATATAAGATCCAGTTCCTAATTAGAAGTTTAAAACGAAACTGAAAATTATTATAGTGGTTAAACATGGAGTTAAGAATCCAAGAAATCTGAATTAAAATTCTGTGTCTATCCCTGTCCAGCCTTGTGAACGTGAGCAAATTCCTTCTGGGGTTCTTGGGAGTAATAACAGATAATACAGGTAAAGCTCTTCATAATATTGAGTGCTCACTAACAGGCATCACCCTTATTATATTGTTAAATGGAGAATTGTGATATATACTTGTGAATAAATAAATGGCATAGGCAAGTACACAAGATCAAAATAAGTGATAAAGACAGGGAAGACAATAGAAATTCCCAATAGGAAGAGATTCCCAAGGTGAGGGTGGAAGAGCAGGTAGAATTTAACCTGAGCTTTGTAAGACAAGGAGTACTTAAATAGTGTAGATGATTTGTTTTAGACAGTCAGTACAGTGAACATCTGGATTTAGGATAAGTACATGAGGTATTATTCTAAAGCACATAAGTGAATGTTTAAAAAATTTTGTAAACAACTTACTGCAGTAAAAGACATATTGCCAAGAATGATAGGATAAGTATGTTTCAAGTGAGGGGGAATATTTTGAGGAGGATTAATGGCAGTAGGCCCTTTACTATAAATTTTTTAAAAATTGAAACGTTCACTGTATGTTTTGATTGCCTCATAGATAGATCTGTTTACCAGAAAGAGTTTCATATTTTGAAACTGGATGAGTGATGTAATGAAAGAAGTATTTAGGAGAATTAATTTGTCTTTGTTGTTCAGGATACCTAATTATTATGGCTTATAGGGTGATATCCTTTGTCCCCAACCTTTTTTGTACATTGATACATGCTCAACATTGGGCTAGGTTCTGTGGATACCCAAGAGAGGGCTAGGAAATGATAATTGCTTCTACCTGTTTCACAGATAAGCTGAAGTTTTCCAGGTAAAGAAGATAGGATGAATCTAAAAATGAATGAGTAAATAAAAACAAGCAAAACTATGCCATTAGCACCCAGCAACAACAACAAAAAGCCATAAACCTGGAAAACTAATAACCACCAAAAGAGATTTTAAACTCGTGTGGCTTGTTGTGTTTCCTAACTCTACCTCATCCCTTGGGTGCTAGGCGAAGAAGGTCCCGTGTCCAGTTGCAAGGCTTCTTAATAATCACTAAGTAGCTATGGCAAAGGTTGAAACTGAACTTTTGAAAATAAATGTTCATACCTAGAAATAGGACATATCCTAACAAGGGAAGTGAAACCTAGCACAGACTTAACCTTAAAAAAAAAGACATACTTAGTTTTTTGGCTTTCAGTTTGGGGAAGGCCAAGATGCAACTTTCTTCAGTTGTTTTTTATCTACTACAGTTGACACCAGCTGCCTCAGCCCAAGGAGCTCAATGTGGGATCCCTGAGGTGAACCTGTGGGGAGGTCTCATCTGCCCAGGCTCCCCAGACCATCCCTTTAGCCTTACAGAAAAAAAAAATAGTCCATGGTGACATCACGAAGGCAAGTGGAGGCTGGGAAGCTCTTAAGGATTACAGTGAAACTTCAGGATGGGCAGGTCCAGATGGAAGTGGTACGTTCTTCCACTACCCTGATCATCAAAGTCATCAAGGAACCCCCCAGAGAAAGAGAGAGACAGAGACTATTTAAAAGATTCTAGTGACTGCCTAGTTTAGGACTATAGTGTTGAATATGCTTCCCTCACAACTTTACAATAACATCAACAGTGGTACAGTAGAATGCCTGGCTAGTTAAGAACTACAAGGAAAAATATTTCAGTAAAGGATTATTTGACAAAAGAAAACCAAAAGCAGGCTCAGATGTTAAGGCTATCTACTACCTAGTAAATAGTGAAGTCCTTCAGTAATCCCTATCACCCTTTCAAGCTGCAGAAAAATAAAATATATATAATGCCAAGCCTTTGAAATGGAACTTACAGGGAAAGATAAAAAGGCCTCTGGAAAAAGCAGAATGTCAAGGAAATCATATGTACAAAATAAGAGAAAAGGAAGAAGAAAGGAAAGAGAAGAACATAAAATGCCTTGTAGATTAGTTTACATTTTCCAAAATATAATATAAAGGGAATCATACAATTGGTGTTCTCTTTTTGTGTGGACTTTTTGACTCAGCATAAGTATTTTAAGATTTATCCATGTTGTCATATGTATCCATGGTTTCTTTTTGCTGATAAAAAATTCATAATCAGACTATATTTTTTTAAAGTTCTTAAAATTCAGTAAGAAAACAACCCAATAAAAATGAACAAAAGATTTTAGCAGACACTTCACCAAAGAAGATACACAGATGGTAAATAAGCACATGAAAAGATACTCAGCATCTTTAGTCATTAGAAAAATGCATCAATTCGCACTAATTAGAATAGCTAAAATTCAAAATCCTGAGCATACCAAGTGTTGTCCACGGTGTGGAGAAACTGGAACTCTCAGGCACTGCAGGTGGAGATAAAACATGTGATAACCACTTTGGAATACAGCTTAGCAGTTTCTTTAAAAATTAAACCTGTACCTACTATTGGTGTACTGAACAAGAGAGATGAGTTTCAGAATTATTATGCTGAACGGAAGGAGCTAGAAATAAAGAGTAATCTCCCTTTATCCACAGTTTCAGGTACCCATCATCAACTGTGGTCAAAAAATTTATCTATCTATCTATCTATCTAAGATAGATAGATAGATTGAGATAGAGATAGATGATATAGATATAGATCTTCCCTGTGTTGTTGGGGATCAAACCCAATGCCTTGCACATTAGGCAAACATTCTATTGTGGAGCTACTTCCCCAGGCTGTCCAAAAATATTGAATGGAAAATTCCAGACATCAATAATTCATATATTTTAAACACAGTTGTTTTATTATTAGCTGTTGTTGATCTGTTGCTATGCTTAATGTATAAACTTTATCATAGGTATGTATATAGGGACACAAAGAGATATATATTAGAATACGCACCATCCACAGTTTCAGGCATCCACTGGGGGCCTTAGAACATATCACCACAGGTAAGGATGACTGTTGTGCATATTCCTTATGCTAGTCTAGAACATGCAAGTTAATTTTTAGAGACATACTGCAGATCAGTGATTGCAGGTGGGTTTGGGGAGCTGATGAGAGAAGGGAAGAAGTGGGAGGGAGGAATCACAAAGGAGCACAAGAAAACCTTTGAAGGTGACAGATATGCTCATTATCCTGATTATGGTGATAGTTTCACAAGTGCCTGTATGTATCAGAACGTAATCAAATTGTACACCTTAAATATGTGCAGTTCACTGTATTTTAACTGTCTCAAAAGCTGTTAAAAATATGATACTGTTCGTACATTGGAAAATAATGTAGCAATTAGTAAAAATAAGAGATCTTTGTATACTGATATGAAATGATGACTATGATAGGTCATTAAACAAAAAGAGCAAGTTGCAAAGATGCATCTCCAGGATGGCTTCATTTTATGAAGAAATTCTTGAGGCACATGCATCTTATATATACATACCTTTGTCTATACAGAGAGAGAATTCTGTAAAGATCCACATTATCCTGGTAACGGTGCCTGTCTCATGGATAGGAATGATGATAAGAGATAGGGTAACTATTTTACATTCATTGGTCTTGTTTGAATTTTAATTTTAAAAAATGCCCCCCTTGGGGCCAGGGATTTAGCTCAGTGGCACCGTGCCTGCTTTACAAGCACAAGGTCCTGAGTTTGATTCCCTGGTACCGCAAAAAAAAAAAAAAAGAAAGAAAGAAAGAAAGAAAAAAATTCCCCTCTTACTTGTTCCTACATTGCTCTCTACCAAATGATAATTTGTGTATTCTTTAGTACTGACTAGAATGCCACAACTATTAGAGTTCTATCAAATTTTCTCTATCTTTATGTCCCCAATTCACAGTTAAGTGCCTGATAATATAATATACTTTCCCAATAAATGTTTAACAAGGGAAATGGCCATTGGTTTCTTTGGCAGCTGTGACAGCCATTCCATTGAATCCAAATGTAGGAAGGCATCGGTTCTTTCTGTGTTTGTGTCTTTTGTTATTAATTCCTAAGTAAAAAACTAATTTACTAGTAACAGTAATCAGCTGAAATATTCGTTATGGCCAAAACAGAGAATTAGGTAGCCAGGAGTTAGAAATACACTAGGAGAAAAGGAGAAAAGGAGATTGACTGGAAATTAGTCCAGTTATTAGCTACATGATGTAACAGTTATATTCCATCCATTCCAAGACTCACATTTATTTACCAATTAAAATCTCTGGAATTGTGACACTTCTTACAATTGATAGTATCTTAAAATTGTAATTATAAGTGGAATTTTTTTTCTCTCTTACTGGTACAGAAAATAATGGCATTTTAGATTTGATGAAATAGGATAATTATAATTTCAGAATACTTAGTTTGTACACTGTTTTAATATTACTCTTATTTGACTAATACAAAAGCAGAGAGAGATTTTTTAATGATTTTCCACTGCCATACATTAAGATTAAATATATAGACTATTTATTATATTGGTAGAAAAAGCTTTGAAGCTTTTTGCTATATTGATAAATAGGCAATGGACAGATAGAAAATTGAACCGAGAGAGTACATGTGACCATAGAGGAAATATGTAAAACAGTAAAAGAAATACAGATTAAAACTCTACAAGGTACATTTTTAGATCTATTAATGCAAGAAAGGGAAGGAGAGAGAGCGATAGGTGGGAAGGAGGAAAAAAGGAGAAAATTTCAGGATGACACCTAAATTGTTTCTCCCTTCCCCTCCCCTCACCTGCCCTCCCCTCTGCTCTCCTCTCCTCTCTCCTCTCTCTCCTCTCTCTCCTCTCTCTCCTCTCTCTCCTCTCTCTCTC